TGAAAGAATCATTACCCAGCAATTAAAGGGAGTGGAATAAATTTACATTCACAGACAAAGAAAGCATTCCCAAGTATATTTCAAGTGAAAATTTAAAAGAGGGATAAAATTATAATACTTTGTTGAAAATCAAAACCAGAAAAAAAAACCTAAAATGGTTTAAATATGAAGAGAAAGAAATGTTAGTGTTATAAATTAAACATATTAGAGTGGAAACTAATAGGGAGTTTGATTATAGGAAAGTCACATTTTTTGCATTTTTACATGTATGTGTTACTTTTTTTACAAAAAAATGTATACATTTACTTCCAGATCACAGACCAGAGTATTTTAAAATAAGGTAACAATGGAACCACAACAGTACAAAATTTAAGAGATGAATCCAAAACTTAACTAAAAGATGATTTCATGGCTTTAATATTTCAAACACAAAACTGGAAAGAGTAAGTCATTTTTCTCAAGAAGACAGAAAATGAAAACCAAATCAATCCAAAGGGAAGCAGAAGAAAGATTACTAAAAACAGAAAATAATGAAATAAATATTTTAAAAATTAAATTACAGGCCACCAAACATGTCTCTGCAGAGCTGAGCTGATGACTACAAGGAAATTGAACTGGAAATCAACAACAAAAACAAACATGTGAAATGTGAAAAAAAATTCTAAGTAATGGTAAATATGAAATAAAATGGTAATTAAATAAATATTTAGAACTAGACTGATAAAAAATGATTCATATCAAAATATGTGGCATTAAGCTAAACAATATTTAGAGAGAAATGTGTAGCTTTAAATATTTGTATCAGCAAAGAAAAAAAAGGCCAAAAATAAGTATTAGGTGTCCAGCTCAAGAAGTTAGCCCCAAACTTTGACTTGAGAGAGTCGGGCAAAACGGTGATAGAGTGACAGTGCTGAGATCAGCCCCTCTGAAATCACAACAAGGTGACAGCAGAATAAAGCCAATGACCCTGACAGAAAAGCAGGGAGCTACTGCATAAAGCAGGAACAACAGCCACTGAAAAGGTATTCACACTCATTTATGACAAAAACTCTAAACTCAATGGGAACAGAAGAAACCTACCTCAATATAAAAAGTCTACATAATGCAACATAACACTTTTTTTTAAGATTTATTTATTTATTCATACAGAACTGGGGTACAACCCAGAGATGCGGAGGGTGAGAGGAGGATTCACAGAGTGGGGAGCAGAACAGGCAGATCGACGAAGTACACTGCTGAGGGAGCAGCGGGCAGGTCAGGAGAGGTCTGCCGCGCCATGTGGTCACCTCCGGGGGAGGCGGGAATCGAACTCATGCGGAAGTGGCTTGAGCTTCTTAGTGCAGTGCTTTAACCCACTGCGCCACCAGGGAGGGCCAACATAATACTTTTTAAAAAGAGTTTTTCATTTGTTTATTTTTACAAAGAAGAACTGGGGTGCAAACCAAAGCGCAGGGAGCAAGTGGACCCACCAGAGACGGAATGGGGAGCAGAACAGGCAGATGTACTGAAATACACTGCTGATGGGAGCAGACAGGAGAGATCTGCTGTGCCATGTGGGTCGGCTCCCTGGCAGGGGACCAAACCCAGGCCACATTGGTGGGCCTAGGTGGTAGTGCTCAGATTTAACCCCTAAGCCACCAGGGAGGCCCCTCAATATAATATTTAATGGTGAAAACATTAAAGCTTTCCCTTTAAGATCAAGAACAAGACAAGGTTGCCCTCTGTCACCACTTCTGTTTAACTTAGTAATAGTTCTGGACAGAACTAGCAGACAAAAATCAGAAAACAAAGGCAATCCAAATTGGAAAAAGACGTAAAACTATTTCTACTTGCATTTGATATATTATTACATATAGAACACCCCCAAAGACACCAATCAGAAAGATTACAAACAATAAATGAACACAGGAAAGTGGCGGGTTACAAAATCAACATACAAAAATCTGTAGCTCTTTTATATATAAAGAAAGAGATGAACAAAAAATCAAAAAGCCCATTTATAATTGCCTCAAAGAGAATTAAATACATCAGAATTGATCTAAGGAGGACCTATACTATGAGAACTATAAGACATTATCAAAGGACCTAGTGACATAGGAGATGAAAGGGTAGCCCATGCTCATGGTGGGGAAATCAATATAAGCAAAATGACTCTCCTGCCTAAAATGATGTAGACATTTAGCACAATCCTCATCAAAACACCAGTAATATTTTTCAAAGAAATTGGCTAAAATATGTAGAAATTTCTGTGAACCACAAACAACCTTGAATTTCAAAAGCAATACTGACAACGAAGGAGAGAAACAAAGGCATCATGTCACCTGACTTCAAACTTTAAACCTGTTTAACACTTCATATTTAACCATAAAAACAATATGGTGATGGCACAAAAATAGATATATGAATGAAGGGAACAGAATCAAAATGCCCAGAAATAAATCCACATACACATCAGTGCCTTATCTATGATAAAGCTGCAACCACCGTACAAGTCTCCTTATAATGAATTGTGTCAGGGAAACTGGAAGGCCACACATAAAAGAATAAGCTGAATCACTCTCTAGTTCTCTAAACAAAAATAAATTCCAGATGGATTAAAGATATAGATATAAGATTTGCAACAATAAAGTACACAGAAGAAAACATTGGTAATATGTTCCATGACACCAACACTAAAGATGTTTTTGGAAATCTGACTCCTATTAACAAAACAAAAATAAACAATTGGGATTAGCTGGAGTTAAAAAGCTTTACAGAGCAAAAAAAAATACATAAAGTTTAAAAAGACATGCTGTGTTCTGAGAGATAGTAGTCACACAATACATAACCAACAACATATTAATATGTAAGATAGACAGATCTATAATTCAACAATAGAAAAAGTAACCCAACTAATAAATGGCAGCATAATGAACAGACTATTCATCAAAGGCGATATCCAGAAAGTCAACAGGTCAGAACAAATTATCATCGTCGTTTCCAGTAAGATAGATGCAAGTTAAAACCACAATAAGGTACCATCTCACACCCATGAAAATAGCGCATATTAAAAAGACTCCTGCTCCCCACTCTGTCTCTGGTGAAGCCTCTCACCGCCCCTGAGCCTCTGGCCTGTACCCCAGTTCTGTATGTACAAATAAATAAATCTTTAAAAAAAAAAAAAAAGACTCCCACCAATAAATTCTGGAGAGGATGCAAAAAAAGAGGAATCCTACTACACTGTTGGTGAGAATATAAACAAGCTGTAAACCAATCTAAATTTACCTCAAAAAACTAAAGTCGGAAATATGGTATGACCCAGCAATCCCACCGTTAGGTCCCTGTACAAAGAACATGAACCCATCAAGACCAAGCACACAGGCGCCCGCGCACCCGGATGGTCTACATTGTTTATTACAGCTCTATCTGCAAGAGCTAAAGCATGGAACAGCTTTTATGCCCATCAACAGGAACACAAAGAGGTTGTATATCCACACTATTCAGTCTTAAGGAAAGATGAAATTACAGTTAGGTGGGAGCTGGAGGGGTGGTGTGTAGTAAAGCAAGTCAGAATGACAAAAGCAAATACCGGACACGTTCATGTAACTAGTGGACATGAGCAGACACCATGAAGTTTCTGAGGTTAAGAGGGAAGGGAATGCACAGAGGGATAAGGGCGCAGCAGGGATGGTGACTAGGAACAAAATAAAATTTCAAAAATTAAAAATAAATGTAATTTATGAAGATCTGTGGTGAAGTTGGTCTAGGAAATGCTTTCTTAAATGAATGGCACTGGGACAATTTCCAAACCTTTAGGGAATACAATATAGGACCTCAGGAAGAGGAAAGTTTCTTAAAGAAAACACAACAACATGGGCTGGTGGAAATGGGCACATATTAAGCTAAAATGAAATCTAAATTGCTGTACAGCAAAGGACAGTATAAAAAGATAAATCAAAAATTGGGAGAAGATATTCGAAAAATACACAATGAACATGCAAACATAAGATTCAAAAATATAAATAAATAATTTTGTGTTTTAAATTATTAAAGACAACCCATTTAAAAGTGTGCAAAAATATCAGAAAAACTGATCCACAGAATAAAAAATGATGAAAAAACATGAAAAGATGCACAACAGCATCTAATAGCTGGAGGCATGAGCACAAAAATCACAAGTCTGGCCCTCCCTGGTGGCGCAGCGGGTTAAAGCACAGCACTGAGAAGCTAAACCCAATTCCGCATGAGTTCGATTCCCGCCTGCCCCGGAGGTGACCACATGGCGTGGCAGACCTCTCCTGACCCGCCCGCTGCTCCCCTCAGCAGTGTACTTCGTGGATCTGCCTATTCTGCTCCCCACTCTGTCTCTGGTGAAGCCTCTCACCACCCCTGAGCCTCTGGCCTGTACCCCAGTTCTGTATGTACAAATAAATAAATCTTTAAAAAAAAAAAAAAAAGAATGACTTTGGGAAACAATTTGGCAAATCCTATTAAAGATAAAGGTATACACAAGCCTAAGACCCACAAGTTCCTAGCAGGATCTAGCCTGTCTAGAGACTCTGGGATGTGTAAACAGAGCAATGTGTATAAGGATACTCAAAACAGCAGAGTATGGGATAAGAAAAACTGGAAACGACCTCAATATTTACAAACAGGAGGAGGGATAAATCATGTCATATTCACAAAGGACCATTGTCGGTAGAGTTGTTGATGGATTACAGCTGCATTATCAATATGGAAAAATCTGGAAAGCAAGTTTGACCAGAATATGCGTGACACAGACCATGCTACTAAAATGGTGTCATTTTTGTGCCAGCAACAGAGCCAGAGCTGGGCATGTGACTGATGCGCAGAAGTACTCAAATGACCCAAGAAGGACTGCCAGTCTTACCACCACTGCGGACGGGAACAAAACTTTGCAGACAAGGAAAAAGAAGAGCAGGGAAAGAAGTGTTCCCCAAGCTTCCAGAGCCATCTGAGGGGCGCCGAAAGCCACTCCGTCCTGACCACACACTCCGTACCTGACAAGAATCCAGGCCCCAGTAAGCAGTGGCGCACAGTATGTCCTGCCCGATGAACTTCTTTTGGTCCTTTAAGAAGAGGTACTGGTACTTTTTATTGCAGACCTCATTGTTTACAATCTTGACAGCCATCTCCTGAAGGCTTTGGACGGCCTTTGTGGTGTCTGAAAAGAGATGTTTCTTCATCCTTGCAGTTCTTTACCCTTCCCATCTTGGAGTTGAATGTGTTAGCTAATGTGGGAGGCAGGGCCCCACCCCGAGGTGGGGACTTGCAAAGGTTCAACCCTCAAGCTGCCTTTTGAAACAGTCTAAGACATTCAAAAGACTAACAGAAGTGTCCCCAGGGGCTCAAAGAGGACAAGGAAAGATCACCCTGATAACCTGGGCTCCGTGAGGGGTTGAGGCAAGACCCTGAAGTGTGCCACCCACTAGAAAGCAAGTCCCCACAAGGTTCCTAGATTCTAGAACCCTGGGGTGGCACCCACAGGTGTCAAATCTCCAAGAATTATTGAGGCCTGAAGGTCACAAGTGTCTATGATAAATACCCAGTGCCTCAGTATCTCCTGAGATTAACTTCTGCCATGCTGCAGGGTACGACGGCATTAGATTCAGGGTCACTTTGGGAACTGAGATGCACACATGGCCCACGCCTTTCCTACTAGGGCACTGTGAACATCTTGCTGTCAACGGCAGCCAAGACATGCACAGTCCGTGGAAGGAGATGCATGCTGATGGGAAGGGGGCATCAGAAGCAAGTGAACGAGCCCTGGTGGCACTGTTTCAGAGGACACAGCGTCTGGGGACCTTGCTGCTTTCACTCACCTCTAGTCTGTACGTGTCCCCACCCAATTACCCAGCACATGGTTCCAATAGACGGCTTGAGCTTGTGGTTGGGTAGGCAGATCGGCTGGATGAGAGGGGACCAGGAGATCATGTCCTTGAGCTTCAGGAGGGCGATGTCCTGGGATATGAGGTTGCTGAAATCCTCATGAATCACGATGTGAGTAAGTTGGAGCTTAGTGTTGTTTTCTGAGAGCTTTTCGGCCCCCACATTCACGGAGTACATTTTGGGGTCCCTGGATCTGCAGGGCCATGGTTAGAAGGCACATCACCAAAAATGAGGCCATAAATAGTGAGAGAGACACAGACTGAGTACAGGATCACTCAGCAGGCCCCTAGTCCCAGCTCCCAGGATGCCCCAGGCCAGAAAGCAAAGTTCCCAAAGCTGATTAGCCACTGACCTCTGTAAGCAGTGCGCAGCCGTGAGGACCCACTGCTGATGAATGAGGGAGCCGCTGCAGATATACATGCCCATGAACAGGATGCTCACCTGCCATGGCCACTTGCCTACCTCCTCCAGCCTCCCCTTAACCATCCTGCAGGCCGTGTTGGTCTGACCACAGCCCGTGAACCAGGTCTCTGAGGAAAGAGGTAGAAAATGGGGCTGTCAGCCCCATGCAGATGCTCAGGCAGTCAAGGGCAGGCTTCAGAGCCCTGCACAAAGCAGACCACTGAGGCAGAGAAGGTCACTTTCCAGCCACCACACACGAGGAGAGGTTTTCCGCTGCCCAAAAAAGGCAACTAAAGACACAAAGGCTGAGGAGCCCCCAAACAATGGGAACCCGACAACCTTTCCAAGGCTTGTTACCAGCCATCACTACTCACCCTTCTCCCCCAGCCCATTCCCACAAGCAGATGGTTGAGACAGTGAAGAAAAATTGTCAGAGTCCCCCTGGTGGCACAAGGGGTTAAGTCTCAGCACTAGGAAGCTCTCCACAGCCACTTCAACACAAGTTCCATCCCCAGCCAGGGAGGTGACCCACAGGGAGCAGCAGACCTCTCCTGTCTCACCCTGCTCCCCTTAGCATGTATTTCAGTAGATCTGCCTGTTCTACTCCCCACTCTCTCTCTCTGGTGAATTCTTTCACCCCCTGCACCTCTGGCCTGTATTCCAGTTCTTGTATACATAAATAAATCTTTAAAAAAAAAATTGAAAAAGATGGCCTGTCCCCCTTCTTGAAGTCTCTCATGTTACCACCGCATGCACATGGTGGTGGGAAGATCTCTTAGCCCATGACCTGTGTCCTTATAAGGTCACTGCCACCCTTCAACTCCCACTGTTCAGGCAGAGGATCAGCTGTGTGGAGCAGGGCACAGCCTCACTGCCCCAAAGCAGCAGATACAGGAGGCAGAGCTCACTCATCCCACAACAAGGCACTGGCCCAGGAAGGGGAGTCTCATAATGAGAAAAGACAAGTCCCTGAGTTAGGGGACACAGATGCCAACATGTCTTCTGGCAAGCAGCAGAATGAGCAGTTGGCAGGTGACCTGAGCTGGGCTGCCACCACAAATTACAGGTGATCGGTTAGGGAGGGAACCCAGGGCATTAGTTTGTTACCCAGTTTTCTAGTAAGTTTCTTCCCTCATGGTCACCTGGCAAAGTTAAACTGCCTAGACACTGCCTGAGTCCCCAGGATCGGAGCACCACGAAGACAGGTGCAGACATGCCCCTCTGGACATAGACAAATGGAGATTTTTCACACGTGCCGGATGACGTGGACACCCAGGCAAACAAACCCCGTCCACCTCTTCCCATGTCCCTGAAGGCCTACCGTCAACGTAGAAAACATCCTGAAGTCTGGCAGACGCAAGTGGAGGGCCCTGAAGATCTCCTGACCCACATGCCATGGCAAACAGGTGCCCAGCCCTTAACAGTTCTCATAATGGAAGATAGGGGCAGGGTGGGGCAGGGCGTCACTGCTGTTTGAGAATTCTAGAACTTGAGGTTTGCTTATTCAGGGTAACAGGGAATGGGTGTCTGACCTCAGGTTGGGGTTTCACCCAGTGGAGGCAGCAGCAGGAGCCAGGGAAGGAGACAGTGTGGTCCTGGAGACACCACACAAGGGCCACTCCTCCCTGTGATAGGTCTCCTGGTGCCTAGGTCTGCTGCTGTTGACACCTGGGATCTGGCCTGTGACAATGCCTCCTGGGTGCCACTTTTGGTCTTGATGGTGCCCCCCATGCCAAACCCTGAGTCTGTGAGAATGCCAAGTATCTGGCCGACAGTGCCTGGTGCCAGGCTTGTGAGGCACCCTCAGTTCAAGCTCCTTTATGAAGCCCCTGTGATTGACCCCCCTGGAAGCATGGAAACGGACTCACCAAGAGGGGGATGGCTAGTTGCTCCTGCAAGTGGCTGAGCTGGAACAATAAAATAGCAGTGAGGAGCAACCTCCCAGCCAGTGGGTGGCACTCATCACCCACTCGATGGTAGAAGGTCGAGCTTTCCAGACTCTGCCTTCTGATGGTCTGAGCAGGGAGTGATGGGAAATGGGGGCAGAAGTGGGGTTTCAGCCCTTAAGCCTCTAGTGTATGATAGGTGGAGAAGCTGCCTGCTTGCCACGTGCAGCTTTGGTGTGGACCTGGTCTCTTCTCAGCAGACACTATATGTGGTCAGAGACAGCATCTTAAGCACTGGTGAGGTCCCGCCAGCCAGCCACCACCTTTCCCCTAGGTTTGCCCATTTCAGAATTAGCATTTTCCTTCTTCTCACAGGTTCAGAATTTTCAAGAGATCATCTGTTTTGGCCTGGTGAGGTAGCTTCCTGAGAAGCAGCAGCTTGCCAGGGTCTTCATGACACCTTGGGAGCCCTCCCACCGACTCCACCTCCGGGAGGTCTCCTCTGCAGGGTCCCAGGCCTCTCCAAGAGATTGGCTCGCTCCTGCCCCCACCCAATTGCCAGCGTTATTGATACCATGGGGTAATGAGGTTCACACACTGCTGGAGCTGAGGGGACTGAGGCCCCCAAAGCGAAAACCGGAAGCAGAAAATGTGCCTGCTGGGCAGAGCCCAGGATGAAACCACCCAACTGCCCTCAAGGTAGCCTGGAGGCGCAGACTCAACAGGAGAACGGGAGACTTGGTGAATCTCAGAGGCATCCAGTTGAGCAAATGTCAGACGCTAAAAGGTACACCCTTTTAAAATTTAAAAACAAGCAAACAAACTATCTTTAGGGTTACATGGTAGAAAAGCAAGGAAATGCTCACCACTACAGTCAGATTTCTTCTTGGGGAAAGAGCAAGGAGAAAGAAAATGCAAAGAAGAAAAACCCTACCCACCTATTCTTCTGCCTTTGTGGAAAATAATACTTTATGGGGAACAATCAACAATCAATCCATAATAAAATAAGATTATCATCACCACTGTGAACACCAAAAAAAAAAAATCCTCTTTTTAAAAGTCAAAGATTCTTAGATTCTTACACTAGGTAGGAAAAAAACCCCCACTTTGCTATCTACTAGACACATCTAAAGCACAGAGACATGCAGCAGATGAAAGTAAAAGACAGGCAAAAGTATATTAAGTATAGGCACACAAAAATAGAAAGGGAAATGTTAATTTATGAAAATGTGATTTGGGGCAGAAAAATTATTTTGTGTTGAAAAAATAAAAATTGCAATGAATATGGAACATCATCAAGTTCTATTCACCAATAAACGAACAATCAAACGTAAAGCAAAATCAGCTATATGTTAGAAATTGAAAGGGTCTTCTCCAACTCTGTCTTTGAGGGGTGGAGTGTCTATAAAAACTACACACTGGGGCCCTCCCTGGTGGCGCGGCGGGTTAAAGCGCAGCACTGAGAATCTGAGGCCACTTCCGCATGAGTTCGATTCCCGCCTGCCGCCTGGGCGACCACATGGCGAGCCAGACCTCTCCTGACCCGCCCGCTGCTCCCCTCAGCAGTGTACTTCGTCAGTCTGCCTGTTCTGCTCCCCACTCTGTCTCTGGTGAAGCCTCTCACCGCCCCTGAGCCTCTGGCCTGTACCCCAGTTCTGTATGAATAAATAAATAAATCTTTAAAAAAAAAAAAAAAAAAACTACACACTGGACTACTAAGAACACTACAATTATCTTTCCTAAAAACTGAAATCGTGTGGATCACATTTTTTTTTATTTATTTATTTATTTATTTATTCATATAGAACTGGGGTATAAGCCAGAGATGCGGAGGGTGAGAGGATTCACCAGAGACAGAGTGGGGAGCAGAATAGGCAGATTGACAAAGTACACTGCTGAGGGGAGCAGCGGGCGGGTCAGGAGAGGTCTGCCTCGCCATGTGGACTCCTCCAGGGCAGGCGGGAATCGATCTCATGCCGAAGTGGCTTAAGCTTTGTAGTGCAGTGCTTTAACCCGCTGCGCCACCAGGGAGGGCCTGGATCACATTTTTTACCGTGATGTAATGAGAAAAGGATTTAATAACAAAAGATTAAGTGAGTGAAATAAACCAAATGATTCGAAAACACTATACATCAGCTTTGTTAATGTATTTTGAGGAAAGAAAAACATTCCATAAACAATTTAGAACACACCAATCATTAGAACAATGCATTATTAAAAAAAAAAAACTTGTGTGTGTTCAAGATAGACCTGTAATCTTAAAAGTATATATTAGAGAGTGAAGACTGAAAATAAATGAATTAAATGTTCAAATGAACAAACTATAAAAGGTTCAAAATAAACTCAAGGAAAAGTTATAGAAACAAGCCAAAATTTTACAAAATCACAAGTTTAAAACTTTTATATTTAAAACTCTTCAATTGTTTCCTTTGACTGTGCTCCCTCAGCCATCCTAGGGGGACTCTGGGGAAATGCTGGGGTGTATCTTTTCAGTACCCTCCACCCTCTACCAGCCCCAGCCTCAAGCCTCAAAAATGGGAATTCTGAAACTGCCTCCCCTGGTTCCAGGTAAATAATACCCATTCCATGCAGGCAGAACACATGCAGTGACGTGAAATTAGGAATAGGTTTAGGTACTGATAGAGACAGGTTTTCAAGGCATGTAATTTTTTTAGTATTTGGTACTAATAATTTATGTGTGAGATCCTGTGTTTTTTTTTTTAATAAGATATTTTATTTAAGAGTATTAGTGACTACTTCTGGGGAGGGGTTGGGTATATTTCTGACTTACTTTAGTAGATCACAAGAATATATTCAGATACTGTTTGTAATTAGACAAAATGTTTCAAGGCAAAAAAATGTAAAAGATGAAATTGTAATACTTTTGCAATCAAGTTTTTTTTAATGCCCTTTTAAAAAAAGAAAGAAAGCTGACTGAAGCATGGTTTGTGGGTCCTTGAGCCATGACCAGTTTACACAGTATATTTCAGCTACCCCTCAGAACATTGACAGATGAGGAAACTGAGGCCACAGGCCCATGCCTTTCCCTATGCACCAGCACTAGTGATATGGCAAAAAGCATCAGCCCCAGTCTAGGGGGGCCTCCCAGCAAAATTAATTCCGGGAGGCCCTCCCCTTCCTGCCACCCAACCCCGATAATCACCCAGAAATGATCCGAATCTGCTTGTGTTTGCACAAATTTAATCTCTGCTGTCCTGGTCCCTAATTCCAGAATCCTAGACCATCCTTCCCTCCTCCTGGCCACCCAAATCCAGGCATCCACCACATCCCTCCCCGCTGGGGAACCAAAACTGGCTCCAGTCTCCCAGGGGCCACTCTTTCCCCACCTTGACTCTTACTGAACACAGATGCATGACCTTGGCCGAACCTTGATCCTGCCCCATTCAGCAGAGGCCAAGCAGGAAGAAGGGAAGGAGGAGATCAGGGGCCCATCTGGGGCTGCAGCAGCCAGGACAGGAGCAGGAACCAGGCAGAGAAGCGCAGACCTGAGGGAGCCACACTGCTTATTTTAGTCTTGATCCATTTGCTGTATTTCGTGATGCGGGAGTACACGCCTGGGTTCTGCACCTTCTCACAGGCTTTCTCCCAGGACAACACCCCAGCCAGAATCCATCTGCCATCAACTTCACAAGCCAACGGGCCCCCAGAGTCCCCCTGGGCAGAGAGAGAGAGGTGATGGAGGCTCTGGGCCCAGCCCAGACCCAGCATGCCCATGCCTCGTGTTCTGTTTGGAAGATTCTGTGAGGATTTCAGTACCTGGGGTCCTCCTTCAGGTCCTCAGCTGGGGACACCATCCCAGAATAACAGTCAAAATCAAAGTCACAGGGGAAGGTAGATGGAAGCAAAGCACTGTCTGTGATGGTGCCAGAGAGGGGCGCCAAGCAAACCACTTTCCAGGGAGCCGCCCCCTCACCCTCGCCCTCGCCCTCACCCTCAAGGAGAGCTGCCAGACTCTCCCAGAAACTCACAGAGCACAAGTTTTCTCCATAATTGGTGGCACAGACCATGTTCCCCAGGACAAGAGGGACCACTCGGGGCATGAGGGAGTTCTTGCGGTAAATCCGGTCACACCTCTTGTTGTCCATGATAAAAACTTCGGCCTCCTGCAGCTCTAGGGTCAGCGTGGAGTTGGCTGTGAAAGAGCCCAGTGGAGTGAGACCTGCTCCTGCAGTCAGCCCCGGCCTCTTCCCAGGGTCGTGTGACCTCCACCCATGGCAAGCACGATGGTATAAACCATGACAACAGTTCATATGAGAAGTGACCCTAACACAGCCAAAGAGGCAACAGCCACAAGCTCTCTGGCAGGTACCTGGCAGATTAAGGCCCTGAAAAGAAATGTACCCTCTGTGTACTGAACCCCACCCCCATCCCACCCACTCACCAGAAAAGCGCCGTCTAACCTGGCCCCAGCCAGTCACCCAGCACTGTATGCCAGCCTTCAGGATGTAGTTGGGCTCTGGGAGGCAGATGGGCTGCACGAACTTGCTGATGATGGCAGGTGTGTGTAGCAGGAGAAGGGCGATGTCACCTATGAAGAAGGTCTGGCCCCAGTATTTGGGGTGCATAATGACATCCTTCACGGGGATCAGGAGGACCTTGGTGGGGTCCGTGGGCTTCAGCTTGGAGGTGCCAAGCATTACTGAGTATTCATTGTTGCTACAGGAGACAGACAAATGTCAGATTCCCAGCAAGACGATGCTCTCGCTCTGTGTGAGGACCCTCAGTAAGCTTTGTCTAATCCAGCCTGCAAGCCCTCAGATAAAACTGTCTCCTTATTCATGATTCACACTGACCCAAACAGTGCAGGCGTGTAGGTGTCGATATACATGTGTGTTCTCATGTATGCTGGGGCCAGGAGGGATGCCCTATATTTTCCTGTTTCCCTGTTTTCGAGACGGTCTTTGCTGCTCAGTCGCTAACCCCTAAGAGACCTTGAGCATGACTGGACATCCCTTCCTGCTTACCCCACACTACCTCTCCCACCCCCATATGTTGTTTCACAGAGGAAATGAGGCTAGGCTGGGCCTGTGTGTCTAGACCCAGGCCATGTGGGCTAAACTCACCCTTGGATGCAGTGGGCGGCAGTCACCACCCAGCTGTGGTCAATGAGGGCCCCTCCGCATACATGTTCATTTTTCACCTGGATGCTCACCTCCCAGGGCCAATGTCGGGTCATGTCCAAATCATCAGACCACCAGGGTCTGCCACACTCATCAGCATCGACTGTGGCTGGGGAGACACAGTGGTCACATAGCAGAATGACTGATCAAGATGCTTGGGGCCAATGTGCACACGGCTATACACTCGGGATTGTTCCCACTTCAAAGAGGAAGAAACTGAGGAGGAGAGAAGGGCGGGGACCTACCTAAAAGTACAGAGCTAGACAGCAAATGACAATGATAGAGATAAATGGCACCAAGACAAAGACAGAGAGACGTCGGGGGAGATCAAAAGACACCGAGACACACAGGAAGCAGTCAGAATATCAAAGAAGTAGTAGAGAAGGAACCCGAGGACAAGAAATGTATGTTCGTGTGTCTGGAACAAGGTCCGAGGTCACATCCTGAAAGATCATCACGCGTGTTGTACCTTTTAGAATACAAAGGACGCTGTCTTCACACCATGCACAGTCAAGAAAAGTTACAGGCTTCCAGGTCAGAAGTCTGTACACAGATGCTTCAAGAAAGAATCCCCTGGTGCAGGGGCCCACTGAGGTCCCCCACTCACAGCTTATGTACTTGGTTTGCACATCGTTCCAACAGACAAGTTATACAGGTGTGTGAACATGATACAGAGACTATAATTAAGATAGTAACCAATTTTATTTTAAAGAATGCACCATGATCATGTAGAACTTGTCTCAGGAGTGCAAGAGTGGTCTCGGCACAGTGGAACTCGGTATATTCGCCATGTAAACAGCTTTTTCTCCAAAGAGGGAAGGATTGTGTGCTGTCCTTAATTGACACAGAAAAAGAAATTTGAAGATTCAACTCAGACTTATAACTAAAGAAAAAAACTCTAGCTAGGACTAGGAAGGAAATCCTTAATTTTATAAAAGTTACAAGCCAAAACCCTATAAACATGTAATATTAAAAAACAGACAAAAAGAATCTATACAGCCAAAAGTCAGTGATAATGTTATACTTTGTGAGGAGGAGGTTAAGCGCTCTTCCTGGACCTGGTACTGCTCTGCCTTCTGATCCAGAAGCAGATGCACAGGTATGTCCACTGTGTCGCTGGACACGTAACTTCTGCACTTTTTATGTGTAGATAACATTTTGATGAAACAACTTATCCTTAAATTCAATGTCATTTCTCTACCTCTGCACAATCAATGAGAAAATATATTTAAAATAAAATTTTAGAAGCAAAAAATTATGAAGTACCTGAGAAGTGACCTATCCAACACTATGGAACATTTCTGCAAGAATAAAATTAAAACTCTAATAAGAGACTGAAATCGCTCTCCTCCATCATTGGGTGGTTGATTGTACTTTTGTGTGCTTTGCCAGGTCTTCTCATTTTCAGAATCAAGCAATTCCTGGCCAAGAAACAAAAGCAGAATCGTCCTGTTCCCCAGTGGATGCAAATGAAAACTGGTAATAAAATCAGGTATAACTCCAAGAGCAGATACTGGAGAAGAACCAAGCTGGGTCTACAAGGAATTTCACGTGAGACAGACTTAGGCGGTATCAAGATCATAGCATCTTACCAGAAAACATTACTATTAAATGGACATGTTTTCTCTTTATTTGTCTCTGTACCTAGTAGACTGGTCAGTAATAAAAATGTGAGAGCTCTTTGGGGAAAAAAAAGAAGAGATTCTGAAATTATCAGCAAAAATAGAAACATTCCTTTTTTTTTTTTTAAGCAAAACAACTAAATATTTTAGATGCAATTTTTCCCAAAATTAACCTATAAAGTCACTTTCCACATCAGGATTTTTAAGAAACTTGATAAACTTACTTTAAAGTTGAAATAGAAAAATGAAGGTCCACGAATAGCTCAGTCTTTGAAAAAGTAGAGCAAAGGAAGAACATTTGTTCTAGCAAATATTAAGACACACCAAAGTCATGATAACAGAAACAATATGGCATTCACAAGGACAGGCAATATGGACCTAGGGAACAGGGCTTGAGATGGTTGTATGGAGTACAGAAATTCAATGCATAAAGGAGCCACCACAATCACTAGATAAAGGAAGGACTGTTGAGTAGATGGTGCTGGGAAACTGGCTCACTATAAGAGAAATAAGAAGAGCAAAAGTGGATTCCTTTCTCCTAGCACATAAAAGACCTAAATGTGAAGGATAAAACTGCTAAGTTACTGTCAGGGTATCATTTAGTAGAATTCAAACGTAAATGTCTGGACTTTGCTCAGCTGAACAATGCTGGGAGACACAAAACAGCTAAGAAAAGGAAAGACTTGCCACAGGGACCTGGCCATGGGTCCACATAGCCAATAGGGGGCAATGAGGAATTCCCAGGAATGAGGGAACAGGACAAACAGAGCCAGGCAGGACACCGGCTGAGCAGAAGGCCCGCCAAACCTGATGTTCCAGCAGATAGCACTGACAGAGACCCACTCCCCCACCCGTGAAGAAGCCTATGAAAATAAGCTGTAAAAAAGAGCTCCAAATCCTTCCTCCCACACAGACCATATCTCCCGTCTTGCTCCCTGCCCCCTTACTGGGTAGCTCAGTAAATCCACCTTTTCTGTTCACTCTGTCTCTGGTGAGTTCTTTCAGCCCCACACCTCTGGCCTCACCCTGCTATCAGACCACCACAGTTAACAACAGACCATGTGATGTATGTGGGAAAGCACTCCTTAAACAAAGCCTCAAAGTACAAACCACACAGTATTAAATCAAGGAGCCTGCTTACATCAAAATCAAGGCTTTCTGAGCCCAGGGACAAAGTTAACAGACAGGCTGGGAGACACTTGCAGTATCTAAAATCAGCACAGGGCTTTTGTTAGGACTATACAAGGAAAGAATAACAGACAATATGCAAAGAATAAGGGTGGGTGGTTTACTAGAAGAGACAAAATGCCAACAGCGCACTGAGCCAAACTCATTGGTAATGAGAAAAATGTAAATTATGTCAGGAGGTCATGCTTTTTCCTACTAGACTGGCAAAAAAAGGTAAAAGCTACATCATGGCTTAAGCTGACAGGTCTGTTGTGATATGTACACTTCCAGCTGTTAGGAAGACTGCTGAGGCTGACCTGAAATATGGACACTAAATAAAAGTGGGGGACCCACGTAAGTTTTTGAAGTTGATCAGTGTATTCTTATGATCTAAGACAATATTTTTAGAAAATACATACCAGGTACTCAGAGGTACCACATTATCCTCAACTGATTTCTAAAAAGGTTATGTGTGTGTTTCTTCTACTACTTGCATTTTTGCAACAGGTTGTAAGTTTAAAGCTATTCCTAAATAAAAAGTTTATTTTTAATGGGAATGGGGCTGAATGAAAAGAGGAGAAAACGGGGATCGAGAGCATTTAACATTTATGTAAGCTAAAATACGTGCTCACAAAACAACAATACGGAGTTTTATAAGAACACACACAAACAGAAAGGCACACACTGAACACACAAGATTGAGAGGAGAATGAAAACCTGGAACAGAAGTGGGATATAGATAAGAGCAAGAAAAACAAATCTAATCAAACAATTCTATGCCAAATCAGAGTGGAGTCTGGGCCCTGCGACAATGGAGCTCGGGACAAGTAGGAGCCCACCCTCTACCCCAAGAAAAAGCCAGAGAGACTCCTAAGGCTGTGCAGACACAGACAAGGCCCAGACTCCATTTGCAACTAAACAGTCTAGAGTTCTCTAGAAAAGGATCCGCATCAGCTTCCTAGCTACGTCCCCCAGGTGCTGCAGCTTGCACTCCCTTGAAAAGCCTCAGCGTTTCCACTGAAGGCTTCAGCTACTCTCCTCTAACCCATTAGGCCTGTAAATCCTGGCAGCTCCTCAGACTAAATTCCAGCTTCCTGCAAAAACACTATGTAGGTGACCCTCTTCAGAACATACCCTCCAGGAGCTGCGGATTTCCTACAGCAGAGGCTCACTCTACCCACCTCGTTTGGTGCTGTCCTCTTTGTAACCTGGAAGAGAAAAGGGGAACAGGTGAAGTGAGAACTGTAGCAGAAAGACACAGAAGAGGTGCATTTTTCATTAGTTCATTCACTCACTCATCAGGTATTTCCTAATTTCCATTCTGTTCCCAGCCTGAAACCAAATTCGCCCTTGAGAAACATGCTGTCCAGCAGGGAGACAAGAATAAATAATCACCTGTATGAGATCAATGCAGGGACAAGGCCACAAATGTCAGGAAAGCCCAGAAGAAATGGTGGACAGAGAAGCTTCTGGGAAAAAGGGTTATTGTGCCAGGTCTTAGAGATGAGAAGTTAGAACAGAAATGACAAATGACAAAGACATTCCCTGCAGAAAAAACATCAGGGACAGCAGATACTCCTGGGGTTAAAGGACAAAGCTAGTGAGGGCAAAAAATGATGTGGAGAGGGCTATCAATGAATCAGGAGGCACCACAGCCTGGTCAAGAAGCCTGGGTGAAGCCCTCTGAGACAGCAGAAGAATGACAACAGAGGCTATATTATGAAGGCAACATGAACAGTAAATAGGAATGAGATGCAAATGTAGGCTCCCCAAAAGCCAGGTAAGAAATAAAAAGGTCTGATGAATGGGGGGGATATAGGACTTGGGGGAGAGGGTTGAGTGAGCCTGATTTCTGATTGTGGAAACAAGTGGCACTGAGTTGGTAAACAAAGGTAAGCAAACCAGGAGGAGGGCCTCAGTTCCGGACTCTAAGGACCTGAGCTCTTTCTAGGTCTTTCCAGTGGAAATGTCCAGCAGGAAGTCACACATCCAAACAGGTCATTTCAGGAGGCAGCATTATATCCATAGCAGCTCTATTACACCCAGGGTAAGTTAGCTCACCAAGGGAGCACTGAAGAGGGAAGCCAGACAGCACCTGAGAACATCGGGGTGAACCAGCATGATTAGTCTGGGAGGGCCACAGAAGAGCGGGAGCTATCCCTGAAATAGAGGGGGGTCAGGAGGCATGGCCTGAGAGAAGACAAGGGACCCGAGAAAATGAAGGCGGGAGTAGTAGAAAGCAGGGACAATAAGGGCAGAGATGTGCCAGGAATAGGCTGGGGATTAAGTGAGAAGCACTGAAAGGAAGCATGATGTGAAAACCGTTATTTTGAGAAACCTGGCAGCGTGTGGAAAGAGGGTGAAGAAACACAGTAAACAAAAAGGGGAGGATAAAGATCTTTGAGCCAGCAGGGAGGGAACACAGCCCAGGAAAGGCTCGCAGGCCAGAGCACAAATAAGTAGGCTGACCTGGAACAGAAGGCCAGGCCTCTGATTCCTGTTTCTGGCTGAAGCAGCCGCTAGGGAGGCACCCTGGGTTTGAATACAAGGTCTGGAAAGAAGGTGAATTTTGGAATCTTCCCTTAAGTGGCTGGAGCCCACGAACTGACCTACCCAGAATGCATGCCTGTGGGGTCTCTAGCAGTGCCAGCCACCTAAAAGGCGGGGGCAAGGTTGCCGCATAGAGTGTGAGAGGCCTGAGGAGTCGGTGGAAAGGGTGGTTCAGATCTTAGTCACCGGAGGTCCACACTGACAGGAGAAGGAAACGATTGGTCCCCAGGAGAAAATGCTAGGGGTTCCCTGCACTACTTGTGCCCAGGGGGTGGCAGGGCAGGTGAGGCCAGAGGCGGGAGGCAGGGCGGGCAGTGGGAATCGCCCTGGCAAAATCCAGGGAGAGGTTGGTAAAGACCGGTCGGGGTGCCGGGAGCGGTTACAAGTCCCAGTCAGCCATAATACCCCGGCCATTGCCGGGCTCCGGTGAAGGGGGGCAGGGTGCTGGGGGGTCCACCTCACCTGAGTTCAGTGGGGGCAGCAGCAGCAGCAGCAAGAGGCAGCGACGTAGGCCCCAGAGCCTCGAGTCTCCAGGCCCAGCGCTAAAGACGAACAGCAAGGAGGCCATGAGGCCCGGGGGGTGCCACCGAGCCGCGGCAGAAACAGCCCCCACCATCCTGCCACCTGCCGGCTCCCCCGCGGGTGAGGCCCCTCAAGCACAAACTGCGCTTCTCAGACGCCTGAGGGCAGCTCTAGTACCGGAAGCACTTCCGCATACGTGCGGGGACGTACAGTACGTGATGACGTTGTGGACACATGACGGTGACCTGGAACTCTGAACACACGGCTGCCTGTACTGGCTGGTCTCCTTCACCCCGACCTAGTGCCTATTCCTTGAAGATGACCTTGGGGCTCTGTAGCTGTGATCGCCTCCATGGTAGCAGGTCCAGGAAAGCACCCCCAAATGACATTGCCGCCAGCATCTGGCCAGCAAAGCCACACCCGGATCCTGGACCAGTGCTAAAACCTTGTGGCTCTGACTCTGACCACACTGTTGGCCCCTTTGGTGCATTGGACAGTTACACACTTTATATTGATTTGACAATCTGAAAAGATACAGAAAGCACAAGAACAGAGCAGTAAGACTAAAGAATCAGACAAGTTAGAAAGTGACATTTGAGCTAGACCAAGACCTGAATGATGCATCATGGTGGGGCCTAAGAAGGGAAAGCCTTCCCTCCTTTTCCATCGGCCACCAAGAGGAGGGTTGCAGCTGAAGAGATAGTAGCTCTTGAACTGTCACAGGGAGCTTTTGCAAAAGGATGGTTCTTGGGGTGGCAGAGTATAGCAGAGATTGGGAGTTGGCCACTAAGATTCCTACTTCCCATGACTATTATGGGAGGCCACAGCCTGGCAACTGAAGAGGTCCACTTGCTGAGTTTCCACCACTGGGAGGTGAGTAGAGATCATGTGTCACTTGCATACCACAGCAGTCAAGAGCAGATGCCTTCCCTGCTTATGTTAATGCAGGGCCATAGTTCTCAAGGTGCAAACTCCAGAGGGGCAGCAGCAGCACTTGGAAACTTGCTAGAGCTGTACAGGCTCAGGCCACACCTACAGGATTAACTCCAGGGCTGGACCGTGTGGTCTGTACTTCAGCAAGTCCTCCAGGGAATTCTGATGCAGGTGAAGTATGAACTATAGAACTAAGTGGTGCCGTAAGACAGAGATGTTACCATTAAGGCTGGGATGTTCTAGGAATAAGAAATTAGATTTATTTAACACATGATTGAATATTGGGTGGTTTGTTAACCCCTTAGGAGATAGGATTTGATGTATGCTTTCAGTCTCTCAACTTCAGCTTCCCCCAGGCAACACGCAGGATAGACTTCCACAGAAACCCATGGATATCTAGGAGCTAAAACACTGACCCCTGGAAAGGCAGGAGACAGGGGATTGATGGTGAGAGAGTTGATGAGCAGCTAGACAGAAAGACTGAGACACTTGACTCTGGAATTAGGATAAGAACCAGTGCCGAATATAGTGAGGCTCCCTGGTCCCCTCCCTGTGGAAATACAGACCTTTGGTAACAAGGGGAGGGTGAGCAGCAAGTAAAAGCCATGGGAGAGGAATATTATCAGACCCCAGCAGCACTCTTGCTCCCAGTTCCCCTCCCTTGGTCCTCTTTTCTGAGCTCCAGAGACTGTTAAGTTAGGCTACAGAGCTCCCAGCAAAGATGTGACAACACTAAAATGATGTACAGAGAGCAGGATCCCCTAAAACCATCCCCAGGAATCACATGTGAATGGCGGGCTATTAAGGGGGGCTACCCCTCAAGGGCTTAACAAGAACCACACATAGTTCCTTAGTTAAATGAAAAACTAGTTCTCTAAGGAGTATTTATATGCAACTTCCAGACCCCCAAGAGACCAGAGATGAAGAACACACAAGCAACTCTCCAAACATTTATTCTGACATAATATTATTTCATGACATCCAAAATATCTGCACTTCTTAACAGTCTCAACACAACTTAGGGTGAGCCTGGATGTGGCCACTAGAGCACTAGGGAAGGGGGTTCCAACATGGGGCTACCCCAGGAGGGCTGGTGTGCAAGAGGCTGTCTACCCAGATGGATCCATACTGGGTACAGAGAACTTCTGGTCCAAGACACCCGACTCAGCTGTGCAGGTCCCAGGCCTTCAAGCAGGGACAGGCGAGGCCTCCCAACTCGCTCTGAGAGTCCTGAAGCCACAACCAAGTCACTGCTGGTGATGTCTATTCTTTGGTAGATGTTCCCAAGATGTCCATGAAGCAGCATGCTCCACCTGGAAGGCTGGCTGACCCCCCTGGCTGGAAGATTGCACCCCTCCTTGCTGGCAGGCAGAGCACAGTCAAGGAGTAGGCACGGCAGAGGCTGGCAACTGGAGTGCCAGGCAGGAACACTTTCTGGACTCCAGTCTTGTCCTTGCTGCCCATATGGAACTTTGGGGTCAGTGCATCCCAACCAGAATTTAAGGAAAGGGCACTGTGGTGTGGGAAGTCAGAGAAGAGGCTTAGGGGAAAACTCAGAAACAGGAGGGCAGGAGGGCCGATCATCACGGGGTTGCCAGGATGCCGAGGAGCAACACCAGACACAGGCTTAAGATGAAGAAACCTGCTGAGTTCTGAGAGTAAGCCTGGCTTAGTTGACCAAGGAGCCAGTCCTTGTAGAAACTAACTTCTGTATAAACTCCAGGATATTCTCCACGACCACAGCCAATACCCCAGCTCACAATCCCCACCTGGATCCACGTCTTATTAAATTCACAGACCAGGGGCCCCCCAGAATCTCCCTGGAGAAAGAGAATGAAAACGGAATGGGAGAGGGCCAATATCAGAGCAGGATGCTTCACCTCAAGGGACTAGGGAGCTGGACATAAGTGGGGCTCCCCCCCAGTGCCTCTCATCGCTACCTGCCCTCTATGAATGTGGGATTTGAGAGTTGAAAATGTATGAAAAACAAAATAAATATATGAAAAAACTGAATATAAACTTCAAAAAAGTACATACTCTGAGATCATAATAATGAATAAAATCCTTGCCCAAGGATGTTGTTTATCACACAGGAGAGGTTCAAAATGTGTGATGTGAATTATGGTGTTTATGTCTGACTTTCCCCCTTCCTGTCCCTCTCCAAGCAGCATCAGCTTCTCTCTGTTGAAGGGGGGGGTCAGGCCCGCTGGGCAGAATCTCAGCATCCTGTGCCTCTGAATCGCCTTAACTTGAACAAGGGGTGAGTGGAGGGGCTGGAAGATAATGCAGGTTCTACTGCCTGTAAATAAGGAAGCACTGATTGGCAGCGAAAATAAAAAGGTGGCAAAGGGTCCCTGAACTCACCTGGCAAGAGTCCTTTCCTTGTTCGCTGTAGCCACAGATAACCCCTTTCTTGACTAAATCAACATGACTTTTCAACTTTCTCTTGAGTATCTCATTACATTTCTCATAGCGTGTAATACTTAGCTCAGCCTCCTGAAGGATCACTGGAGCTGTTCCTGATTTAGCTGTAAGGCAATTTAGTCATTGGTGGATTTCCTTAGTGAGACAGGTCAGCAGCTCTGACATCCACTTTGGTCTCAGTATAGTGTTTTCACATAAAGACACCCTCTTAGGGCTCAGGCTACTATCCCCATTTGACAGTGGAGGAAGAAATTAGAGCAAAATTGACATGGGAAGTTTAGCTAAAACTCAACATCATGGCAGGTTAGGAAGAACACATCAGGACAGGAAGAGGTGAGGTCTTACAAGCTGAGAAATCAAAAGCAAGTGTCTGTCACTCTGAGAATCATTAGGATGGTGACAAGTGTCTGTACTCCAGTAAAGTGTGTTTATTTTAGAGCAGGATCTCGGCCTCTTAGATAGGTAGTGCCGTAAAGGTACCAAATCTAGCTTTGACCAAGGGATGAAAGGCCCTACGGTTTCACTAAGAGGAGTTCTCTGGCTTCCTCCCACTCCCGGGAAGAACTTTATCCTTCAAGCAAGTACTTCCCGTTTGGGACAATTCAACTAGTAAACAGATCAACACTCTTAGAGCTAAAATTCACCCTACAGAAAACCCCAGATCCTGACATACATAGAGACTTGTAATATCAAGTAACTGGTAGGGTAAGTCCCTACCAGTATCTTCTCCACTCTCCTCCCTTACCCACTGGCTAGAAAATCGGCTTCCTGTCCCTGACTTTAGCTTAAGGCTAACACCTGCACAGCAGGGAGCCTCTTCCTTGGGCTGAGTTTGCTGGATCTTGTTGCAGTCTCACCTTGTTCATTTAGTTTTCCCCATCCAGTCACCCAGCACTCTTTATTATCTTGCACCAGGAAAGTCTTTTCAGGGAGGCACACAGGCTGGATGTGGGAGGAATAATTCACAGGGAACTCAAGGAAAGCAAGGGCAATGTCACTTTGGAATGCTGTCAAAGAACCAAAATTCCGGTGGATAACGATGTCTCGGACTGGTACCACAACTGCCATCCTGGAGGTGTGTTTCACGTTTACGTCTCCCAGCTTCACTGTGTATTCCATTTCGCTGCAGAGAGATCCCTGGAGGTCTAAACACCCCTTCCACGTTTTCTAGGTTCTTCCTAGTTTGCTCTTATCTCCAATGCTAGACATCAGCCACCTCCCCCCTTCCAAATCACATCCTTTCCCCAGACTCTTGGCCACTATCCAGTGATGTTGAGTAGCATCAACATCACCTGAACACTTGCTGGAAATGCAAATTCTCAGGTCCCACTCCTGAACTACTGAATCAGAAACTCTGGGGTTGGGACTAGGCAGTATTTTTTAACAAATTCTGCATGCTCATTAAAGCTTGAGACTACTAACTGAGACCTATATTCCCCACAAGTATTCCCCCTGGCAAGTCTTTGCCCACATACTGTCTCCCAACTGGCTTCTCCCCCCTTCTTCCCACTTAGCTTGAATTTCCAAGAAGCCGCTTTGACGATGACTTTGGGTCTTGGTTTTCCCTAGAGCACTAATTTCACCTACCTCTGACTACATACTGAAAAGCAGGGCCTATAGCCCCTTTTTCAGATGAAGAAGAGAAAGCCTAGAGAGGGGGTCAGGACTGGACCCAGGTCACACTGCCTGATCAGAAGCCTAAATTGGGAGCTCTGAATACTCACCTAAATATGCAGTGGGCAGCAGTCAGCACCCACTGCTTGGCGATGAGGGAACCTCCACATATGTGTTCATCATTGACCTGCAGGCTCACCTGCCAGGGCCACTTCCTATCTGAAGCTGGCTGTCCACCAACTATCCTCATGTACCTATGGCCACATCCTGGAGCAGGTCAATGAAGTGAGGGGATGGAAAGTAAAACCGCTGACACCACAACCACCCACAGAACCAAATAATCCTCAGAAGACTCAGAACCCTTAGAACAAAGCCATGGCTCCTCAGATCACCCCAGGAATGGCCAGGACCTCTCAGATTTTAATGGGTTGGGTTCACTCAGACACTCCCTTTCCCCCCTTCCCCAAGGAAAAATTGTTTTCCCCTAAAGCCCTTCTCCCAATTCCCCATCCCCAGGCAGGGTTCCGTGTTCCATTCGCCTCAGGCCCCGCCATTTTCTGTGGCAGGGCCTGGTCCAGAAACATCACCTGGAATAAATGGCTGTGCTCCCGTGGCCTCGGCTGGCATGGTTGCTGCCTGTGGGGCTTCCGTCACTGCTGTCACTAAGTTGGACGACCTGGTCATCACGTGAGATTCGGGAGTTCCAGAGGATCCTGGGGTCCCTCTAGGGAGCCGAGTCATCTGCTGGTCCTCGCGGCCGTCCTCTGAGGGGAGAGGAGAGTCTGAGGGCAGCGCGGACGCGCCCTGTGCCTCCTCCCCGCCCTCCCTGGGCTCACTGAACCAGGGCTGAAGCAGCAGGAGTGAGATCAGCACAAGACCCAAGGAGCCGCCGTAAGAGCCTGAGCGCGCCATGGGCACCGCCGACAGCCGCGCCCCCCTCGCGCAGCGCCCCCTCGCGGTGGCTCCCGCCGCTGCCCAAATGTTGGCGGGAAAAGCGGTCTTTCCCATCATGGTATCACGGAAAGATCCAGCCTAGACAGGACTGGGTCGCTAAGTCGTGACTCAGGTGTCTTCCGTCTTCCAAGTTCTCCTGACCTAGGTCTCTGCTATCCCACCAGCATTTGTTCACCCAGCGATGCATCTATAACTCTCTGCCAGGCTTGCATTAGGCCTTTCCCAGCATCTCCCTCCCCACCATTTGCAATTAAAATTACAACTCCTTAATATAACTGTTACACTTAACATTGCTAACCACTGCATTACAGATGATAGTCCTACCTTTGTTTAAATCAACATCTACATGAAAAAAGCCATTAGTGAAATGCAAATTAAAACCACAATGCACTATTACTACAGGCCTAACGGAAGGGCTAAAATATAGAGACAAGACCAAAGGCTGTATGCAGAGATTTTCCATCATTCATACATTGTGGTTAGAATGTAAAACACTCACTCTGGAAACCACATTGGCTGTTTCTTAGAAAACAAAATATTCTATTACCACACCACCCAGTAATGGCATTCCTGAAAAATAAAGACATAAATGACCTAAATGATAAAGAAAAAGAAAATGCAAATTAATACTGCAGTAAGATACCACTTAGACTGATACCTATTAAAATTTGAGTGGGGGGAAGACCAGGTACAGATGAGGAGATGGATCAACTGAAATTTCTCACTTATTGCTGGAAGGAGTGTAAAATAATACAAGTAAATTGGAAAACTCTTGGAAATATTAACAAACTTAACATATGTCTATTCTATGAGCCAGTAGTTCCACTGCTAGGTTTATTCCCAAAAGAGCAAAAGCATACAGACACAGTCTTGTACTAGACTGCTTATTAACAGTTTTATTTGTAATATTAATAGCATTTGTATACATATTCATATTACCAATACCTATGACTATATTGCCTTATGTGATAAAAGGAACTTTGCAGATGTATTAATGTTTGGGACCTCAAGTGGAGATATTATCTTGGACTAACTGGGTGAGGTCAATCTAATCACATGAATTCTTAAAAGTGGAGAATCAGGAAGAGACATGACTATGGAAAAAGGGTCAGAGAGATTACTTTGAGGATAAAGGAAGGAATCACAAGTCAAGGAATGCAAGGCAGTTGAGAAGCTAAAGACAACAAAGAAACAGATTGTCCTCTGGGCTTTAAAAATACCCCCTGCTGGCCCTCCCTGGTGGCACAGTGGGTTAAAGCACAGCACTAAGAAGCTAAAGCCACTTCCACATGAGTTCGATCCCCACCTGCCCCTAGGAGATCCATATGGTGAGGCAGACCTCTACTGACCTGCCCACTGCTCCCCTCAGCAGTGTACTTCATCAATCTGCCTGTTCTGCTCCCTGCTCTGTGTGTGGTGAATCCTCTCACCATCCCTGCACCTCTGGCCTGTACCCCAGTTCTGTATCCATAAATAAATAAACCCTTTAAAAAAAATACCCCCAGCTGACACCTTGATTTTAGCCCTCTAGGTCTAATTTTAGACTTCAAGGAAGCAATCAGTTCAGTAAAAAATGCAAGTTGATGATGTCTACAGTATGATTCCACTTGGGTAGCAACAGAAAGCTCATGCTATCTGCATAGCTGTGTATCCACATGTCAGGATCTGATGATTGACCGATATCTTTGAGTAGTTGCTGCCCTAGCAAAGATTTCTTTTCGCTCTAACTACTCATCTCTATTAGGTGCCCACCGGTCTCTGAGAAGTGCCCAAACAAGGAGGGGTTCACCATTATCATATCCAAAGCCATAACTGTTGTGTCAGGAATAGCAGGTAACACAGTGCCAATCAGTAAGAATCAGTTGATTACTCCTAGGACCTCAGAGAAACCGCCTCCTCATTCTTCTCAAGAAATTTCCAAAGTAATAGTCCTCCACCCCCACTCCCATGCCATCATCCTCAGGAGAGACAACAGAAACAGGTTGACTTGCTGGGCCAGTGCAGCGCCCCCTGCAAGTCCACAGAGGCCAGCCGGACACCACTGATCTGAGGGTGACAAAGCAGAGGGGCGTGACTTAGAAGCCCTGGGTGTACCCCTAGAACCACCTGACGCTGGCTTGTCAAAGGATGGCAGCCATCTTTGTCCGTAGTCCCTTGATACCAGTGTCTCATTCCTCACCACCGAGCAGCTCATGATTGGCACAAGCATTTATTCTACCTCTCTTTTAAGAGTCTCTGTATGACCTTCTAGTCCATACATCCAGGCCCAATCAGGGAGCCAAGCTTCCTAAGCCCTACCCCAGGGAGGCCAGCAAAGGTACATGATGGACACACCTCTCAATGAGTCTCTTTAAACCAAAACTCTCATTTCTTATGAGAGGAGAAGAGGAACATGGAGGGAAGAGGAATAAGAAGGGTGTCAGAAAGGGGGAGGGGCAGGGATAAATGGGGAAGGAAAGAGAGAGAGGGAAAGAGTGAGAGAAATGGCAGGAGAAGGAGGGACGCTAAAAGGAGGAGAGAGAACATAGAAAGGAGAGAGGAAGGAAGAGGAGAGGAGGAAGGCAAAGAGAGGGTCATGGAGAGAGAAGAAAGGAGGAAATTGAGATAGAGATAGACAGGAAGATACAAAATGCATCATTTGTGTAAGATAGAATTGCCTTCTAAAACCAATGCAATGAGCCAACTGAAAAATTAATAAAACTACAAAGGAGTAAACTAAGAGGCCTGAGGGAAAAGATCAATATGTAAAATCAATACTTTCTTTCCAGCAGCATAACAAATTAAAAAATATAACCCCAAAAAAGACATTCCATTAGTGATAGCAATGCACATTTACAACAATACCTAGGGACAGGTACAGGCCTTACACCACCCAGCTCGGGTTCTTCTGACCCTGACTTACCACTCTCCTCCTCACAGGGGCCCCCCACACACTGCCTCCTTGATGCATCTCACTGGCTCATGACCCCTGACCTTTGCACTGGCTATCCCATCCATCCCCTCCCCCCCAAATATCCACACAGCTCATTTCCTTACCTGCTGGGGCTACACCAGGATCAGCAGACTTTTTCTGTAAAGTGCCAGACAGTAAATATCTTGAGCTTTATGGGCCCAGAGTCAAAATCAAGAGAAATTAATATGCAGGTACTGACAACAACAGGAACAAATTTAAATTTTTTGATGAACTTCAAAATATAAGAACTGATTGCTGCTGCATAATATTTGGTAATACATGTCTACTAAAGAGAAAGGAATTCTTTTAGGGGGATAATTAATTGCAAGTGCTCTTCTGTAAAAAGCACTCTTAGCTAAGAGATGATGAGCCAGATTTGGTCTATAAGCAAGTGTCACCTCCTCAGTGAGGGTCTCCCATGTCACATTCTGAAAAATTGCCCATTATGCCGTCTCCACCCACTTCATGCTCATCTAATTTCCTCTGTAGTGTGTCGAACTATCTTGCATACTATTTTACTTATATATGCATTAGCTGTCTTCCTCCTCCATATGTAAATTTTATGTGGGTAGTTTTCTGTGTCTCTCTAAGAAATGGAATATATCTGGCCCATAAACACTCAATAAACACCAGATTATGGAAAGAATAAATGAATATAATTGTAGTGAAGAGAGAATGCATTAATACCTATACATGCTTACAGTGTTGCCTGACACACACTAAGCCCCCAGAAGTATTACTCACTCTTATTGTTACTACTTTCAGGAAGCGCCCCAAGCATCCGGAAGGTGCAGGCCCCAGCACAGTACAAACAAGACTCCAGCCACCAGAGGTATTCATTGCCTGCTGCCTGCTATATCTCTCTGATGCCAGCTGTCACTGTGGCTCCTGTGAGCTCCTCCACTGGATCCCAAGTTCCCCAAAGGCTCTGTCAGTCTTTGTCCCTCAGTTACAGACTGGACTTCTGGACTACCCCCTCTTCAACTCTCCCCCCATACAAGCAGAGTCCCCACTCACTACCCAGGCTGGTTTGAACCCCATTGCCAGGTTCCACTTGCCTCCACTCTGTACCACACCCCATCAATGCCTAAAGATTCTGCACTGCCCCCCTTCAATTAACTCTACCTCAACTGATGGCTCCTGCTCTGGAAGGCCTTTCCTGACACCTTCCCAGCCTCTGGGTGTCTGAAGCCCCCCAGTGCTCACCCTTTATTGATCACTGTCACTCAACCAGGACCCCAGAGGTGCTCCTAGCTCTGCCAAGCTGCTTCCCCTACCTAGCCCACTCTGCCCTGGACCTACCCCTAGCCCCTCAGCACTGAACATCTCCTTTTCCTACCCTC